TGTGGTTTATAAAGCGAGTGTAAAGTTGGACCAAGTTCACACAGCGCCATCTGCTGGATGACATTGACACCTTCACAGCTCAGGATTTAAAGGGATAGTTCACCCAAAAATTAAAATCTGTCATTAATTACTCACCCTCATGTCGTTTCAAACCCGTAAGACCTTCGTTCATCTTCGGAACACAGCTTAAGATATTTTTGATGGAATCTGAGAGCTGTCTGACCCTGGATTATTTTACAGATCTCCTTGCTACGTTTCTGGACTTGAGAACATTTCAGTTGCGCTGCTGTCTATGCAGAGTCAGACAGCTCTCAGATTCCATCAAAAATATCTTAATTTGTGTTCCGAAGATGAACGAAGGTCTTACGATTAAGATATTTTTGATGGAATCTGAGAGCTGTCTGACCCTGCATAGACAGCAACGCAACTGAAAAGTTCCCAAGTCCAGAAACGTAGCAAGGAGATCGGTAAAATAATCCATGTGACATCAGTGGTTCACCCTCATCACCCTCATGTTGTATGAAGCTACGAGAATACTTTTTGTGCACAAAAGAAAAAAGAAAACAACTTTATTCAATGATTCGTCTCCTCCGCATCACCCTGTAGCGCCATTTTGGAGAGTATCCGCTGGACGTAAACAGCGTATGCTGTTCTGTGTCAGCTGCGTCACGCCAGATCTGTTTCCCACGTTGTTGTGATTTGATCTGAATGAAAACAGCGTATCCTTGTGATGCAGCTGACACAGAACAGCATACGCTGTTTACGTCCAGCGGATACTCTCCAAAATGGCGCTACAGGGTGAAGCGGAGGAGACAAATTGTTGAATAAAGTCTTTTTTTTTTCTTTTGTGCACAAAAAGTATTCTCGTAGCTTCGTATAATTGCGGATGAACCACTGATGTCACATGGATTATTTTACCGATCTCCTTGCTATGGACTTGGGAACATTTCAGTTGCGTTGCTGTCTATGCAGGGTCAGACAGCTCTCAGATTCCATCAAAAATATCTTAATTTGTGTTCCGAAGATGAAGGTGAGTAATTAATGACAGAATTTTCATTTTTTGGGTGAACTAACCCTTTAACCCGCAATGACCGATGGAGAGAAAATAACACACATTTATTCGTTCATCCTTTGTATATTAATTCACTACATATAGAGAGAGATTATTAAATATGATGTATTTATATGTTACATGATATATGATATTGTATATGATACGTTTGGCCTATTTATGCTTAGCTTACATGGACATATGATATGAAATTAGAGTACAAAAGTTCTGTCCTCTAGAACCTATTCATTCATTCATTCAATCATTCATTCATTCATTTACAGTCTTCAAACTATTTGTCCTCTGTAGAGTCATGGAGTATTTATTCATTTATTTATTTTCATTTGTTCAAACCACTTGTTTTCTGTTTGTTTGTTTGTTTGATTGATTAAGTGCAAAATGACAAGAAGGTATGAAGAGTATGGCAAATTTCTTCAGAAAAAAATAAAATTAAGATAGGACACACAAAGGCAAAGTCCATTGCCAGTTTTTTTATTTTGTCTTTTTCTTTTTCTATAAAACGAGAGAGAAATCTATAATTTCTGAATATATAAAATATACAACATGTGTATATTAGGTATTGTAGATGTATTAGAAGTAAATAGAAATTTTAAGTATGTGTTCACTTAACTTAAAAAATTTCCATGAAGGAGAATTTACTTTTTAACACCTGCATGCTCATCTGTAAACATCTATAGAAATAAACATTTGGATTTGTGGTATAGTGCTCAGGGGTTTTTTATCTTTGACTGGACCTCTGTTATTCCCATTATCCGCATTGGAAATGTCTGAGGTCACCAGCTGGGTTTCATGCCCCCATTAGACAGGCAGAAAAAGAGAAACCCTCATGTCCCTGTAGGAGGCCTATAAATAGAGTTAGCTTCCAAGAGGAACAGGGAAAAGTTGCAAGCACATGTGAGCATGTGTGCATGTGTGTGAACCAGTGTAGATACTGATTGAATATTGATACTGAGCCCTATTCATTCATCGCTTCTTTGGCATCTGTCATCAAATAGCAATATGGCAGAAGAACAAAAGTTCTCAGAAACATCTGTCCAACTGACTGAGGCCGCTCCACAGATTGTGGGCAGTGGTTTTACTGCCCCGGGAAACATTTATTCAGCCATTTTAAGCCGCAACGAGGCTGTTAAAGATGCTAGGCGTCTCAAGGACTTTCAGGAGCTCAGAGACAAATATGTACTTAAGAAAGTGCTGTTTGAAGACCCGCTGTTCCCTGCTGAGGATTCCTCTCTCTTTTACAGTGAAAAGTTCCCTCTAAAGCTTGAATGGAAGCGCCCGTCGGTGAGTGACCTACTATAACGTGGCACTGTGCATGAGATCAGTTACATCTGACCCTCTGTGGAACAGAGATGTATTTTGGATAAAATGATAATAGAATTTCTGCAGTTCTGCATGGGGATATTTTCTTCTTGGCTAATTCAAAATTAAAAATTTATTTTAATTGAATTTAATTGAATTTAATTTGAATAAATTAAATATTTTTTATTTAATTTAATTTGTGTTTTTAAAATATTATTTGATTTCATTTTTGCCATTTTGCTAGAATATCACTTTATTTCCTTACATGACCATCTCCATAAATTTCCCCCTTACATGCAAAAAAAAAAAAAGTATTTACTCTAACTGTTGATTAATAATTCATTGCAGTGTTTCAGTTTTTCAGTTGGTTTTATATACCTAAGCAACAATTTCAGTTGCTATGTGAATAGACAGCATGAGATAAGATATTTTTTTGCAGGCATGCCATTAGAATGTGGCAGGGTTTCTGTAGTGTGTGTGTTTGTTGGGGACATGGCTGCGATTTAGCACGCTCTGGAGTCTCAGGCAGCTGACTTGCCAAATCATGCATGCAACGTTGTGCTAGTGCTTCATAAAGCAGAGCTCTACCTGATAATGGACTTGTGTCATTAGGTTTGATATGTGGCTCTATTTTCTTATCATCACTATTAAATAATGTAAACAAAGATGTTGGAGTAGCATCTTGTTTTTAAAGTATAGAAATGTGTCATGCATTTGCATTAGTGTTCTAAGTGAATATTTATGTGGTGTTTTTTGTCAGTCCATCTCATGTAACTTATTAAAAGTTGACCTATTTGTTTTGACTGATGTGTGACAGACATTTATAGCTTTACTTCATAATACTGCTTCAGAGAATCAGGTTACTGGACACGGCCTGCAAGGCCTTTGCTAGGTCGTTAAATCAATTTTTGGATTGGTGCTTCAAAAAGTCAGTCACGCATTTTCATTTGCATTTACTGACACTTTAAAAATAATGAGAAGGATTTACATACTGTACATTATCATGCCTTGACCTCTTTTGAGATGCAGCTCATAAAAACGCGCTAGCGAAGTTCCGGTCAGCAAACTTTATGACCCATGGACAGCTGCTGAATTTCTGTGGTGGTGCTGATCTTCACAGATATAGCCATATTCTTTTTCTGAAGATAGTAGAAGTTTAAAAATACAGTTATTATGTAAATATATTTTTATAACAATTATAAATATATGTTTCTCTTTCCTAAACAGGACATTTGTAGCAATCCACAGTTCATTCTTGGGGGAGCCAACAGGACAGATATCTGCCAAGGAGACCTGGGTATGAAAGTGCAAATGCATGACATTCTAAATACATAAAAATACATAATGTTTCTGGGGATGCACAAACATTTAAAATTTAAGATAATATCGATGAGCAAATAATAATTTTTCTGTCATGGTCTTATGAATGACCGATATTAAAATTCTATTTCGTCTAAAAATAAAATAAAATAAAAATTCTATTTAGTCTATAAATCATTTTATAAACAAAAAACTAAAATCAACCATTTTAAATGCTAAGTGAATTTAGGAACAGCATGAAAAGTAGAAATTTGCCAAAGATTACTTACATTTAGATTACTAAAGGTAATCTAACTACATAGCACCTGCTTGTGACCTGTATACAGGGATTTCCTTTCCTCTCAGCGTATCCAAATACTCTGTTGGAAAATAGATCAGTTGCGTGACACAGAAGAAATTAATAAAGTGTCTGCTGTGGTATCTGTTGCGGTGCTGTGTTCCACAGAGGCATCCAGTGAATGCAAGAGGCGCACAGAGCAAAGGCCTTCATTTCTGCACCTGTAGAGTGTACAGCTTTGTATACCCAAAGGATTTTCAGTTCTTTTTTTTTTTTTTACTTAAACCTTTTGATTTTTTTTCATGAGCTATACTGCATTATTTATATATATATATATATATATATATTTATTTATTTTTTTTTATTTTTTTTTTATTATTATTTTTACTTTGGTAAAGGTGAGTCCACTATTTTAAATAAAGAAAGTGAATGAGTACTGCATAAGTACAACTTATGCGTAATGCATTATATTCCAAGCATAAAATATTTTTATATTGTACAAGATCTAAC